TATAATTCATGTAGCTTCCAGATGTGCATTTTAGAAAAAAAAATATAAGGCACTAGAATAGTGTGTTCCACAATTACCCTAATTTAACTGGATTTATAACTATGTTATAAGTTGGTTAAAAAACTTTTGTTAGCTTCTCAGAGCTGAACAACAACAACAACATGCAAAGAATCTAATGCCAAAATGAAAGAATAGTAATAAGACTTATGGAGGTAAAATTTTCTTTCTATTGGTTATAAACATTTCCATCAAATAAGCAAATATAGTTTAGAAAACTGCCCTGTACTGTGGTAAGATAAGGCAATCCTCTCTTATGGGTTTGACAAATTTATTGATATCTTACCAAATCAAGAAAGTAAGAGGTTCAAGTTCAAGGTTCTGGTCTTGCACTATCAAAAGTTTTTGTTTCTAACTGTTTTTGAATTTCGTGCAAAGCTACATGAAAGCTATCTATGCTATAAAATCCATAGAAAATTCAGTGTGAATTCAGAATGCAAGATGTGTCACATGACACATAGAAGTGAAGACTAAGGAGTTATTTAAATCTTTTCTTTTCTAACTATGAAATTCAAATTTAGATAATGTAAAGATTTGAATTGTAAACTACATTTTGTTTAAAACTTCATTGACATACATTAATAATAAGATGATAAATTTTGAATATAACTGTAAAAATGATCATGACATGTGCACTTTGATCCTCCCAAATATACAGGGTTAAACATCAAAACATTTTTTGTTTCTTTTTGTAAAAACAAATCTTAATAACCTAGTCATTTTAAGCCTCTTAAATTCCCATTTGTGAATTAACTGTATTAACCCTTTCAAGACTGGCTTAGTATAATATACACGAGTTAAGTATTTATACTATAACTTTTAACGCAGTAAGTTATCTTCACAAAATTTGGTAGACTTTTAGTAAAGATTACAAGTCTTTCACACATAAAAAAAAGTTGATTATTTAATGAAGTATTTTCATTAGAGATTTGTTTGTGAAAATATAGTCTGTTTCTTTACCGGTCCAAGTGCTAATTGTCTGTCCCAAAATCTCAAATATTATTTGTGTGATCTCTAAAACCTCCCAAATACATTTCAAATGTTTATTTTCAGTAAAAATTTATATTTTTTATGTTATTTTCTCTACCCTAACTCTATGACGTCTGTCAATTTGACCGACCTCGTAACCACCAAAAAGAATTAGTAAATAAATATAAATTATACTTTTTTCATTCTACAATGACTACAGATTGTAATACAAAAACACAAATGTTTAGTCTAAATAGCTTAAATCTCATAATATTATACATTTATATATATTTATTATTTTTAATATATTGACCTTCCAGCCATGCCTGGCTAACAATACAGAAGTTACAGTGATGCAGCACTCATGATACCGTATCCAATAATATAAAACTGACCTTTAGTCTTTACAAAATGACCTGTCTTGGCAGTGTTTTAGTGGACAAGTATTTTGTAAAATACAGTGACATTATGAAATTTCCTAAGTGGAGGATGTGAAATGAAAATTTTTTTTAGGTTTTATATATACATTTGAAATATAAAAAAAAATCATAAGCTACTATATTGATACCACAGAATTACACTACAATTTATCAAGTGTAGTAACTAAGCTATATTTGGGTCTAAAAAATATGAAATTTTGATCTCACTAAAGACTTACCTTATCATTTGAAATCTTGTGTGAAAAGAATGAGATTAACACAATAACATTATGAGCTTTCAATTGGTCATTCATGTCCTATATAGAAGTAAGTGTATATATAAAGGAGCATTTCCAAAAATGGAGAGAGGTGGGTGGGGAACCACTATGTTTGATTCAGTACATGAGCAATATCTTAGCAAATAGGAAAGATAAGAGGTTCTTATTTCATATTCTAGCTTGTCAATATTGGTAGTTTGAGTTCCTAATTCGTATGAAACTATAGACTTTGTATTTTGACATCATAAAATCTAATTTGAACCAGTGCTGCATTCAACATACCACATGACACACAAAAATCGATGTTTAGCTGTGTTTTTTTAATATTTACTTGTAAATTAAGAAATTGAGTAATACATAAATAGTACTAAAATTTGAATCATAATCTACAATTTGATACCAAACTTATTGACATAAGTTCTTAAAATATTAGTTCAATGAAATTTTAAATGCAAGTCAACAAACGCAATGACATGGCCTTTGACACGTGACCTGTTGCGAAAGGGTTAAAGAATATAGCTAGCAAATTATATATTTACTTTTATCCTATTATTTGCTTTGTGTTAAGCTCTTGAAAAAATATTACTTTTCTTTTTAAAATAGATATTAAACAGATTTTTACCCTCCCACAGCAAACTGCCATGCCATTTGGTGGCTATTCAAATTCTCTAGAGTAGCAGGCATGATTGGAGACTTTGTCCATGAACCTATCCAGCTCCATAAACCTGCTGAAAAAAATTATAACCGAAATAAGATTAAGTTTTTAGGTATACTTACTACCCACAAAGAATCAAATCTTGTTTCACTTAAGAATAAGTTGTTTAATTTATGAAACTAAAAATCTTTCAAAATAAATATTTTGAACTACATTTTAATGAAAACTATTAGAAGTTAACTGAAACTGAGAAAAAGTGCACTATGAAGAAAAAAAATCTTATACGAATAAATTCCAAAATATTTACAAAAAATACCATTATTAAAAAAATGAAATTTGTAACTAAAAACTGCTTTCCTTTAGAGTTACAATATAGAAGTCATGCACAACATAAGAACATATAGATTCTTTGATCTGTGATTACATTTGGTTTAGCTTCATTATCATTTCATTTCCTAAACACAAGCTATTGAGAATTATTTACAGTCTTTGAAAAGAAAGTTATAAAATTAAATTTTCTGTATAAAACACAATTTGAGAAATAAAAATACATTACTAAAGTGTACAAATTACTAATAACAGAAAATCTCACTTAAAATTAGCTATAGCTCTAATAAATTTGGGAGCAAACAAATATTTAGATAAAATGTTCAGAGAAAATTGTGTAAAACATACAAGTAAATGTATGTATAAACAAACAAAAGAAACCCCTTAACATAATATATTTTCCTTTTATTGCAAATAAAAATAATAAGAATTTGAAACATTCCTCTTGACTATCACATGGGCCTCAAGTTTGTGGTTTTCAACATTTTTAGGTTCAGGAACTATTTGTAAACATTGAGAGTCAGTCTTGACCCAGTCAACAGCTTCAGTGCAAAAAAAATCTGGCTTACTAAATAAATAAACAAATTACTATCTATTTTCAAAGTCAGTACAACCTTTTCACACATTCTTATGACTAAATTTTGGGTCTCAACAGATGGGTTGATAAATGCTGCTTTTTAACATATGTATAAAAGATTTGCAATTTGGTGTCAATATCTGATTATATAAACCATGAGGCTTACCTCTGATCTGCTTGTCTTCATTCTTATCTTGTCCAGCTTTACCCTACGAAAAAGAGAAATAAAGTTATTTAACTCTTTCAGCACAGTCTCAGTCCCTGAGACCAACCTCGTAAACATTTTGTGCTTGCTATAGTTTTAATGCTATAACTTTTAAATTAGTAAGTGAATGTTAATGAAATATGGCAGATTATCAGTAAACATTACAATGCTTTCAATATCAATTTTTTTTATTAAGAATTAAGATTTGTAAAGCAATGTTTTTCTCATGCCTTTTTTTTCCTTTTTGCAATTTGCCTATCTATCATGCAAAGTAATATTCATCTTAAGATTAAAAATACTTTTATGCATCAGAAGATTTTCAATTTTCACATGCAAAATTTCTATAATGTCCACATAGTTATCAAACATTTCTGTAGAAAAACTTTATCTTTTATCTGTTATTTTCAGTAATAAATCTCTGTACGGGTTCAGTAGAATTTTACTGATCTCGCAACCACCATAAAAGATTAGGAAATAAATATAAATTATGCCCCTTTCATGCTAGAGATGAAAACATAAATGTTTAGACTGAATAGCTTAAATCTCATAACATTATACATATTTATTACTTTATTATATTGATCTTTCAGCCATGCCTGGCTAACAATACAGAAGTTACAATGATGTGGTTCACATGCACTCATATTACTGCATCAAATAACATAACACTGACTTTTGGTTTGTACAAAGTAATTTGTCTTGGCTGTGTTTTAGTAGACTAGTATTTTGTAAAATACAGTCACATTTCAATTATTATACATTATATATGTATATAGATTTTTGCTATATTGAAATAAGTTCTTAAACTTATTTTTCTTAAAAACAGTAACTAAAGAAGTAAAGCAATCAATAACCTCTTCTAGTTACGACCTTTGTACTCGGTTGCTGCTTGATGTAGGTTGCTAAACCTTTAATAAATTGCACGTAGAGGATATGCAACAAAATAATTATTTAGGTTTTATATATACATTTGAATAACTAAAAGATCATAAATTACTACATTAATACCATAGAAAACATAGAACAGTAAATAAAGAAGTAAAGCAAACAATTATCTCTTCTAGTTACGACCTTTGCTAAACCTTTAAAAATTTTGCACGTGGAGGATATGAAACAAAGTAATTGTTTTAGGTTTTACATATACATTTGTATAACTAAAAAATCATAAATTACTACATCAGTACCACAGAATTCTACTATAACTTATCAAACATAGTAACTAAGATGTATCTTAGTCTAAAAAAATATGAAATTTAGAGCAGACTAAAGACACACCCTATCTCATTGAAATATTGGTTCAAAACAAAGAAATGGTGCCAAGTCCTTTAAAATGGTTGAGAAAGCCACTAGGGGAACATTCTGAGATTCCAATTAGTTATTCATGTCACATATAGAAATAAGTGTAAATAATATTTGATTTATTACACGAGCAATATCTTAGCAAATAGAAAAGATAAGAGCTTTTTATTTTATATTCTAGCTTGTCAATATTGGTAATTTGAGTTTCTAATTCATTTGAAACTATAAACTTACTATTTTAACTTCACAAACATCTAACTTGAACCAGTGCTGCATTCAACATACCACATGACACCCAAAAATCAATGTTTATTTGTGTTTTTTGAATATTAACTTTTAAATTAAGAAATTAAGTAATGAAAAGTACTATATTTAAATTATAATCTACAGTTTGATACCAAAATTATTGATATAAATTCATGAAACAGTAGTTCAATAGTAGTTTGAATGCAAGTCAACAAACAAGATGACATGGCCTTTCACCCATGACCCATCTCGAAAGGGTTAAGATATCTGGAATTACAGGTATAATTATTATCACTGAACATTTACAGTACATACATGTTATCCAGTCCTACACTATGCATTAATTTCTCAGACACCAGCTTTAATACTTCTTTATTTCTTTTCGTAATAATTTCAAACACATTATTCACTACAGTATTAAATGTAAAGTTAAAAGATTATACTTTTATGAAATACATTTTGTTACTAAGCCTCAACCTGTTTTTTTTTTTATACTTTTCGCTTTTAGTGGGATCCAATGTATCACATTGTATAATTTTATGTTTTTGTTTTGTTACATTTTATGTCAAGAAATCCCAAAACTTTGGGAGAAACCACTTTTTCTACATACAATAAATAGTGGATCCTAGAAGTGATTAGTAATATCAACTTCAATATTAATGGTATTTTTTATTCATATGTTACTAGAGGCTTTGTAACCAACAAAGTCATACACTCACAAGCAATTTGGTTAATAAATAGTTTAGGAAAATGTATTTAAAGAATCCATGGGGTCTAAATCAACCCCATTAGTAATTTTTACGTTGCTAATCATCATACATTGAAGTACAATATGTACAACCAAAGTGTATCAGTAAAAGTTAAAAAGTAATTAAATTAATAAATTACATTGCGTGTTCATACTGTGCATGTACAGTGTATAGAACAAAGATCCAAATGTATGGATTGTTGCTCCTTTATTTTATATGTTACTTGTTCCATAGGGAATTAATTCACAATCAAGTGAAATACTTATTAACTCTTAATGCATTTCAAGTTAATAGAGTCTTTAGATGACAAAATTGAACTAAGTTTTTACTTGCACTTTTTAAAGAGCACAAAACCAACCATATTAAAATACAAAATAGTTTCTGCAAAAGACAAGGATGCTGAGATTACTGACAACTATAATGTTATTCTACTACATCAGAGTAGACACTCTCTGATTATCATTAGTTAGCACTCTTATTACTTTTCAGATATTTCCACACAACTGGTTTTCCCACAGATTTTTTCTTACTTCTGCACTGGGCCATGTCAGACAGTACTTCTTTCTGGTCAACATCAAGTATATTTTCAGCAACCTTCCATAAGGACAATTCTCTACTAACATCTTCTTCCTGCAAGTGCAGGAACCAAATGTTTGTAGCTGTATAAATTGAGTGAAGTGTAAGTTATGTATATTTTTTGTTGTTGATGAATATTTGTTTCCTTTCAGAGTTGGTGATTGGAAATGTATGTAACTCTGATTTTAAGTGCTTCTCAAGCTTGTTGACAATGTACATTAGCTAGTAATAAGACTTTTATTGGGATTTTACTCTACAAGGGCCTGATTAATCCTCATTTGTAATACAGTCAATTTTGGTCATCTTATTTGTGAAAGGATGCCGACTTTTTTAGGAGGGTTTAGAAAGGGGCTACTATACTAAAATGATACCAAGTTTGGAGAGGTTAACATATTAGAATAAGTTTAAATACATTCTCTGGATGAGATAAGGGCTCAGAGAAGTGTAAATGAAGTTTTTAAGACTGGTAGTTTTGGACTCCTAAAATCCAGATGATATTTTCCATAAAAAACACTCTGTAGGCAGTAAGATTAGAAGAAACAAGCTGAAAATACAGAAAAAAGACTCAACTAGTTAAGGCAGTGTTGCTTTTCTAACAACATATATAGCCTATGAAGTATTTTACCTTCAGGTGTGGTAGAAGGTACACCACTGAAAGACTTTGTCAGAAACTTACTTTTTAGTGGTATATATTAACGTAAGTATATGGGTGTGTTGAGCTAAGGATTCTTCTACAGTAGGTGTCTGCAACTTGTTAACGAAAAATTCTACAATAAACGAACAGCACAAACTCCTCATGTTTTTACAATAATCCATATATTAGAAACAAGTTGAACCTATATACAAATTTCTTTACACTATAGAGATCATAGTTGTATCTTAAACACTATACAGTTCTCTTCTTCTTGTCAAAAGTCCACTTAGGCTTATTCACTTGCTTTAGAATTCAGTTGACAAGCCAAACTATTTTTCTCTATTCTGATTGCAAAAGTATCCGTATATAATTCACTTACACTGTCACATGAGTTACCGCAGTTGTATCCTGAACTTCCAATAATCGTCTGCATTTTCATACTTCCATATAATTATCTACTTTTCAAAGTCCACACAGTCAGCTCAAATTAGCTAAAGAACACCTTTTGACAAGACAAGTTATTCTCCTTATCTCTTTCAAACTATTGATCTCATTCTAACATTAGGCCTTTCACTCCTGTGACAGTTAACCACAGTTGTATCCTAAACTTCCAATAAATGTCTGCATTTTCATACTTCCAAATAATCATCTGCTTTTTCATCAAAGTCTACACAGGCAGCTTCAATTAGCTTAGAACACTCTTTGACAAGACAAATTATTCTCCTTATCTTTTTCAAACTGTTGATCTCACTCTAACATATTAACCATTAGGACTCTCACTCCTATGACAGTTAACTTTGCATTTTCTAACTTTTCTTTCACCAAAATTCTCTTTCCGTGATGTTACTTTTACTCTCTCTCTCTTTCCACTCATCTGGTTGCAGCTATTTTTATGTCTATCACTCAGGCTTCAAGAAATCTCTATAATCTCGATATCAATGGATTGCAAACACAACATTTGATAGCCTTAACATCAATGAATAACAAACACAAAATTAGTTAATTAATAATACTACATATACTAAACAGTTTTTTATATCTGACAATAAGCCCCTATTTAAGAGAAATATTTACAATTTTTTTTCACTATATATATAAATACTGTTTCCAGCTCATTTACTAAGTCTTCTTATATAATCTACACCAACATTTACAGTTCCTTTGTCTGCCTCTCTTTGTGTAGGGTCTCCAGTAGGGCTTCTCCTTGATTGGATTCCTTGTCTTCACCTTGACCTTGTGTTGCCTGAGGTCTGTCTTTCCTGATCTATCTGTATATTGGCACAGTAGATCTTGTTCCTCTTTCTTCTTCTTCTTACTAGTCAGTTCTTTACTTACACTGATGTCCTTGTACATCTCATCTCCACCCAATGCTCTTAGGCCTAGTAGGTCCTTATTATCTAAGACAAAGTCAATGTCTTCAGATTCTGCTTTAATGACAACCACACCTGCCATGTCCATATGTACATCAATGGCTGCATCCATAAGGTCTCTCTCAAAGTATCTCTTCAATAGACTGGCATGGTAGACCATGGTTGTTCCATCAACTTTCAGTTTAGAGTGCATTCTGTGGATCACTTCCTGTTCTGTGAAAGGTCCTTTCCACTGCAGGATGAATTTGTTGTTGACTATGGGTAGCAGAAATAAAACCTTCTGTCTGACATTGAAACATCGACCCTTGGCCTTCTTGTTATAGAAGTCTTTCTGACTATCTTTGGGTTTGGCTTTCCCAGTAAAACTCTTTTGATAGGTCTAGTTCAATACTCCTTTCCAGTCCTCTATTCTGAAAGTCTCTTTCCTCTTTGTCCTGTGCTTGACTTCCTCTAGGGCACTGTCCCAAAGTTTCTGTGGTGAAGGGCCTTTCTTCTGTACTTCCTTCAAATGTTTACTATCAGTTATGTTTCTTATCACCAAGTCATGTATTGGTTCCTTGATACACATGGCCTCAGGTCTCCTACATAATATGGAGTATCCATCTTTATATATGCTATGGGAAACTTTCTCATTGTCCCATCAATTAGCACACACAGGTGAACCTTGCCTGTGATCTGATCATCAGATACTAGATTGGTTCTCACTGCTTCACTACTACACTCAGTGTCTCACAGAACATTCACTTTCTTGTCCCCAACATAGCCTTCACATATTGGAATATTATAATTTGTTAGCACTTCTCAATATTTGTAACATGCTCTGATTACTACTGATCCATTTACTAACCTGAGCTCATCTTTAGTCATGCACTGATCAATCATGTAACTGGCACTTCCTTCTTGTGATGAATCTGACGTGTTTTCTTGATTCTGTTTCTTTTGGCAGTAGTGTCCATAATGCCAGTCACTCTTTTCTTGTTCCTTACCAGTACTGTCTTTGTAAATAGCTCCAGCTGCTTTATGTTGAATTTTCTCCTGTTGCTTAATGGTAACGGACTTGCACTCCTTTGCAATTGTCCCATTTTATAACAAACATAGCATCTATTCTCCCTTCTGTTTATCAACCTCCTATCATTTTTGGTAGACTCTTGCTTCTGGTCAGCCCTCAATGGTTTCGAATTTAACTGGATATTTTTGGGCTTGCCAATTGTTCTCCCTCCATGGACTTCCATATACTGTTCTGTCAACTTGATCATCTCCTCCACATCTTTTAGTGCTCTCTCGTTTAGGTACAGTGACATGTCAGTTGAATATGTGATCATGAACTGTTCACATACTAATAGGTCTACCAGTCCCTCAAAACTATTGTCACATTTGTCCATGCCAGTCCATCTTGTGAAGTATCGCCGTGGACATGCCACAAACTGAAATACAGTTTCTACAGTATCAGGTTTGACTTCTCTGAACTTCCAGTGAAAAACTTCTTCAAGTTCATATTGTTTCAGTAAAGCCTCTGTTAACTTGTCATAATCCATGACATCTTTTGACATTATGCCTGCATATACTTCTAGGCATTTTCCTAAGAGAATGGGCTGAGACAGACTGCCTAGTTGCCTTAGTCCCAGTTCAGACTTTAGAGAAGCTTTCATATCTCTCCAGAAAATCATCTATCTCATCTTTCTGTTCATCAGGTTTGGACAGCTTGGGTCAGGTAGCCCTGACCCCGTTGTCATTCTTGTGTCCTTCTTCCTTTAGTTGGGTGAGCTTTGCAATCTCAGTTTGTGCTCTTATTCTCTCTATTTCTAGTCTCTCCTCTCTCTCTCTTTCTATTTGCTTTTCTTCCTCTCTTCTCTGTTTATGTTCTTTTCTCTATAGTTCTTGTTGTTATTTAAAAAACTCTCATAGTTCACAGTCTTTTAACCCAAGACCCCCATATTTTTCAATAAATCATCAGTTACTCCCTTAAATTCTTGTAAATTGTAAGCCTCCCCTACTGCTGATAGCAACTCATTCCATAAACTAATCATCCTGTTAAAAAATAAAACTTGCTTATATAGAATATAGAGTGCCTTTTTTCCAAATCTTTAACTAATGTTCTCCCCTCCCATTGTCTTCAGAATACAGCATAAAGAAATCTCACACATTTATCCTATTTATCCCCTGGAATAGCTGTCTGGGAACTCTGAGCTAAAGCTCCCACAGCCTGTGATCCTCACTAGAAAGGCTAATGCATATATGTTCTTATGCTATATGTAAGCTAATATAAAGTAAACACAATGCAGTAAGTTTGCAGTCAATATCCCATGCCAAATTTTCTACAATGTATATGCACTGCAGCAACAAATACAGCTTCTTAATAGTTACAATGTCTCCTTACAAATTACAGATTTTGTATTTCTTGATGGTAATGGATCTTGGTCCATAATATTAATACTAATATACCTTTAGGTTGCTTTCATATGTATTTCAAATGTATTACCAAATTAAAAAAAAAACGTTTCAAAAACAAATTTATCGGTTTATTTCACATATTCACATAATACATTTAAATTAAAGTTTCTTCAGTTCTTGACGTTGTTCACTTTTATTATATATAGTTTTAAATTAATGGTTCCTAACGAGGTTCTGTAGGATCGCGACAGTTATTAGAAATAGAATATGAAATCAGATTATTTAGTTACCTGCTTAGCTGCATGTGTGATGGTTGTTTAAACTTTAAAGTTAAACTAAAGTTGTTGTTTTTTTAATTTTAGCTGCATCAACTTTTAATGTATTGCTACTGAGTAATAGTATTAGCATTAGCTACTTGCAGAATAACTCCAATAATTAAATATCTTACCAATACTTCTGGATCCTGTTGCCATTCTGCAAAAATAAGAAGTTCGTATAAAATATCAGAATGATCATTCTCTTGGTCGTTTTCTAACATAGTTGAAGAACTCGATACATCCATGTTGGCAAATTCGTACGAAAACAAAACTGTTACGCTACCTTTTGACAGAAACTTTGTAATAATATATGTAGAATTTTCAGATGCATAATTTAATTAGTAAGTATTTAGATATATCACAAAAGAATTTGTCAAAAATAAGATTTGTAAATTGTTCTGAGTATTAACATAGTTTTCTTACTTCTGACCAAAAACACAGAAAAGAAAACTTGTTTTCCAAATGAATTAAGGAAAATCGAAATAATCATAAGTTTTTTTATTGATTTTCGGTTTTGATTTAAATTTTATAAATTTGTAATCAAGGAAATTTAAATAAGCATTGTAAGTATGATGACATTTTCGGATTGTGCACTATTATTCCTGAAGTACTTTATACAAAAAAAAAAGATATTGTTACGTCTCTGTTCGTTTATTAATTTTCCGTAAAAATTCTTTCCGAAGAAACTTTAGCGATATAAGTCCTTTCTTAAATAAAACTAGTTTGTTCTTTCTCAATACAACTTTGCAATACACTTAATTTCCATAGTCACGCTATAAATTAAACAAACGCTATAATTCACAACGAACTAACGATTCACGCGCTAGACTCAATTGTCGTCTCTATCTCTGTCTGCAATTCAACTACACTGTTGCCGTCACTTGTTGGCGGTCTTATATACAAGAATACCGTACATCTAGTAAACACTAGAGGCTTTACGATGCTCGTGACGTGTTACTAGGGTCACGTGACTTCCGCTGTCGTAACAATATATTTGAAACTGTATATGTCATTTCTCAAAAGTAGGGCTTGCCAACCATCAGGTTTTGGGAGATTCTTATCAACATATTTGGGGCGAATATAGCCTAATGGCTAGTATGCCTGACTAAGGATATGCTAAATCATCTTTTGATTAATTTTTTTTTAAATTGTGTTACGTAAGCAGAAGTCACGTGACACTACTAACACGTTATGAGATTCTAGAACGATCGGGTAACATCACGAATAATCCAGTATTTGCTAGGCGCCCTCTATTCTTGTATATAAGAGCACAAGATAAAGCGAGACAATCAATTGGAATTGAATAGCGGAACAGAGAGATTGAAGATATAGACAGACAACTGAGTCAAGCACGGTAGTAAGTAAAGTGCGTAAATCCTTCGTCGAGAATTATAGCGTGTGTTTAAGAGACTGTGGAAATTAACTGTATTGCAAAGTTGTATTGAGAAAGAATAAAATAGTTTTATTGAAGAAATGACTTATATCGCTGAAGTTTCTCGGGAAGAATTTCTAAAGGAAATTATCAAACGAGCAGAGATCTAACAAACTGGTGTCAGAGAGTGGGATAAAAAAGAAGATGGAAATGAGAAGTGGCAAATCAAACTACAGCTCAGCAGATTTGATGGCAACAATACAAGTACAGTAAAAGAAACAAGAAGAACGAGAAGATAAACAAGAAAAGAGACAACAGCAGTGGCAAGAAAACTTGCAACAGTGGCAGCTCGAACAGCAAAATAAACAAGAAAAGATATTACAGCAGTTGTTGGAGGAAAAAGAAAAGAAACAAGAAGAGAGATTACAGCAGCTGTTGAAGGAAAAAGAAAAGAAACAAGAAGAACGAGAAAAAAACAAGAAGAGAATCTACAGCAGTGGTTGGAGGAGAAAGAAAATAAACAAGAAAAGACATTACAGCAGTTGTCGGAGGAAAAAGAAAAGAAACAAGAAGAACGAGAAAAAAACAAGAAG